AGTGTGTCTGAACTTATGCGAAAGGTTTCTGTTCACCGCGTCCAGCGTTGAAGTTCTTACCACCGTCAAATTACTAGCCAATTATAATATTGGTCTTTATCAAGCTCGCGTCACTTCAAAGAACTTTCTTTCAACAATTCAAGAAAGCCAAGTATTTCAAACTGTCTTCATCTATTTTTGAATACAGCGTAACCCGGATATAAGAGAACGGATATAAGAGAAACCCGGATATAAGAGAGATTTTCTCTGGTCCCAACTTAGAGCCCATACTTACCTAAACAAAATTAAGAGAAACCCGGATATTAGACCAAACCCGGATATAATCCGAGAAACCCGGATATTAGAGAAATATAAGAGAAACCCGGATATAAGAGACTTTTCTCCGTTCCCAAATTAAAGCCCATCTTATATCCGGGTTAAACCCGGATATAAGAGAAACCCGGATAAAAGGTACAGTGTAACCCGGATATAAGAGAAACCCGGATATAAGAGAGATTTTCTCTGGTCCCAAATTAAAGCCCATACTTACCTAAACAAAATAGACCAAACCCGGATATAAGAGAAACCCGGATATAAGGTACTTCTTCTCCGGTCCTTATATCCGGGTTACACTGTATAAGACAAGATAAACCCGGATATAAGAGAGATTTTCTCTGGTCCCAAATTAGAGCCCATACTTACCTAAACAAAATAGACCAAACCCGGATATAAGAGAAACCGGATATAAGAGAAACCCTTATATCCGGGTTACACTAAGAGATTTTATAAGAGAGATCTGGTCCCAAATTAGAGCCCATACTTACCTAAACAAAATAGACCAAACCCGGATATAAGAGAAACCCTGATATAAGAGACTTCTTCTCCGGTCTCGACAACTCTCTTATATCCGGGTTACACTGTATATGCAACCGTTTATCCGTTCGGCGAACAACGAACGCTCTTACCTTTGGTATAATTTTTTTTTTTTTTTTTATAATATTATTTTTTGTCAGATCTTTTAATCTGTTGTATGAACATTTCCTCTTCGTGTTGATTTGCTGAAATTACGCACTTTAAAAAAAATTTCTGATTTATTTTTCTTGAAACGCGCTACCGAAACATCTTTCAAGCGTGGAAGTTCGTGAATAAATTTCTTTATCGTGTTTTGTTGAAATTATCCGTGTTTTGTTTTTTTCTCGTTAATATCTCCACTTTCCGTTTTATCTCTACGAGGGGAGACCCAAAAGTAACCAAAATTGTGTCATATAATTTTATTCTTTTATTGTTGCATGTTTATATTCTTATCACCTTCGAAGTATTCTCCATTTGAAGCAATGCACCGACCCAGACGTGTTTTTCCATTGTCCAAAGCAATCCTGGGACTCTTGTGAAGTTATGTTTTTTAATGACCCAGTCGTTTTCTTCTTAACCTTCTTCTGCGAAACGTTTTCCTTTGAGGTCTTTCTTCATTCAGGGGAACAAAATAAAAGTCCGCAGGGGGTGAGATCGGGTGAATAGGGAGGGTGGAAAAGTGGGGTCATCCTATTCTGGGTTCAGAAACTGTTGCACACTTAAAGCAGTGTGCGCTGGCACATTGTCGTAATGCAACCACAGCCTTCCACTTTGCCACCGATCAGGGCGTTTTTCGTCTCACCTTGTCTCGTAAGCGGTTCAGGACTTCAAATAAAGTAAAAAGACTGGTTAACAGTTTGACTAGGAGAAACAAATTCTTTGTAAAGAATTCCCTTCACATCAAAGAAACAAATCAACATCGTCTTGACATTGGACTTCACTTGACGCGTTTTTTTTTTTAGTTTTATCCCTAAATCCTCTTTCACTATAGTCGTTTATATCCAGTTATTTTGCTATATTCATGGTTTTCTTTTCACTTTTTTTTTTTGTCTTGGCGGCTTCAGTGACTCTCCTGGTACGAACAAAATGGTTTCTTTTTGCAATTGCATTCGGTTGTTTGGTCCGCTTGAACACATTAAAAACGGTTTTTTTCTTTTCTGTAAACTTTCATCTGTTTTATCAACACACAGTTCTTTCTACTGACCAATTTCAGTGCGATAATTTGGTCACGTTTTGTTCGTTGCGACAGATTTCATTAAACCGTGAACAACAAAACAGAACAATGTTTTAGACTGAGGTGGTATCTACATAAAAAGTTCAAAATCATACCGCTAATTGTCGGGACAAACTTTCATAAACGCCCATCGAAAGATAATCTGTGATACCATTTGCTGTTACCGCGGTAAAAATAAAACCTAAGAAAGTTTGCTTATCGATAGAAAGTGTTACGTGCTGAGAGAGACATTGAAACGAGAAGGGTTAACACCAAAACCCCCTGGGAAGAATTGAGGATTTAATTCACACAGCTGCAAATGTAAGCTGTAAAGCGAAAATTGCATTTTTCGTAGACAACGAATTTAGTGTTTATTCCCTTAGTCGGAAGTTGAGTTTCAAATAACAGGAGGAAGTGGATAAGTAACCCACGTGAGAGGTAATAGCAAGAGAGGGAATTCCCCAATGTTATGACGTAAGCCGGAGGGGTTTCAGCGAAATGCTCCTACCTCGCCATACCACCCCCATGCCAGTTTTGAGCGAATGTCCATAAATACGAATGCGCGAAGCGAATTCAGCAGACGAGTCGCAAAAGAGAGACGAAGACGAGACCAAAGACAGAAGAGAGGCGCTCGGGATTATCTTTAATCTGTAAATCACATCACGAAAAAGAACCATATATATTCTTGGGATTAATGTCAACACATGTCTCAAGTCTTACTGTTGGTATCATTGTATGTTTTATGCATTTCAGTTTCTGTCTTTAGCATCAACTCCAACTTATCAACTGCTACTAAAAATACGTACAACAACGGGGTCAGTTATATGTGCCATGCGTGATACACGCTTAGGCGATCATGTAGCTTTCGTTGAGCCAGACGAGGCAGATTTTTTCTTTCCGGCAGTAGCTTGCCATTTCTTTCTGCGATAGAAAGACCAATTGCCATCCAAGGCTATAGAACCCGATCCGTCCTGCTGTTTGCTCATAGCTGAGAAGAAAAGGATTCATACCTTTCCCAAGGTTATTAACACATATGTGAATGTAATGGACTCAACTGGAAAGTCATCAGTAATGTGCCATGCATGATACACGCTTAGGTGATCATGTATCTTTCGATACATGACTGACGAGGCAGATTTCTTTTCCCGCAGTAGGTTGCCATTTTTTTTCTGCGGTAGACTAGTTGCTAACCAAGGCGATAGAACCCAGTCGGTCCCGCTATTTAACCATAGCTGGCGGAGAAAAAGAGGATTCATACCTTTCCCAAGGGTATTAGCACGTAAGTGAATGTAATGGAATCGACTGTTATCCGTTATGTGCTATGCGTTACATACGCTTAGGCGATCATGTATCTTTCGATACGTGACTGACGAGGCAGATTTTTTCCCCGAAGTAGGTTGCCGTTTCTTTCTGTGATAGACCAGTTGCTATCCAAGGCTATAGAACCCGACCTGTGCTGCTATTTACCCATAGGTGGGTGAGAGAAGAAGAAGATTCATACCTTTCCCAAGGGTATTAGTACGTAAGTGAATGTAATGGATTCGGCAGGAAAGTCATCAGTTCAGTTTTTTTTTTTCCTGCAGTAGGTTGCCATTTCTGTTTGCGGTAGAAAGTCCAGTTGCCATCCAAGGCTATAGAACCCGGTCTGCCCTGCTATTTAACCATAGCTGGGTGGGAAAAGAAGATGATTCATACCTTTCCCAAGAGTATTAGCACGTAAATGAATTTAATGGATTCGACTCGAAAGCCATCAGTTATGTACCATGCTTGATACACGCTTAGATACATGACTGACGAGGCAGATTTTTTCTCCCGCAGTAGGTTGCCATTTCTGTTTGCGTTAGAAAGTCCAGTTGCCATCCAAGGCTATAGAACCTGGTCTGTCCTGCTATTTACCCGTAGATGGGTGGGAATAGAGGAGGATTCATACCTTTCCCAAGGGTATTAGCACGTAAGTGAATGTAATGGATTCGACTGGAAAGACTTCAGTTATGTGCCATGCCTGGTAAACGCTTAGGCGATCATGTATCTTTCGATACATGACTGACGAGGCAGTTTTTTCCCCCGCAGTAGGTTGCTATTTCTTTCTGCCATCGAAGGCTATAGAACCCGATCTGTCCTGCTATTTACCCATAGCTGGGGGGAGAAGTAAAGAATACATAACTTTCCCAAGGCACCTAAGTGAATGTAATGGATTCGACTGGAAAGTCATCAGTTATGTGCCCTGCGTGATACACGCTTAGGCGATCATGTATCTTTCGATACATGACTGACAAAGCAGATTTCTTTTCCCGCAGTAGGTTGCCACTTCTTTCTGCAGTAGACCAGTTGCCATTCAAGGCTATTGAACCTGGTCTGTTCTGCTATTTACCCATAGCTGAGAATTCATATCTAGAAGAAGACGATTCATACCTTTCCCAAGGTTATTAGTACGTACGTGAATGTAATGGAATTCGAACTCGGCTCTCCGATTCCTCAATCCGAGCCGCTATCCATTGCTCCACCGTACCTCCCCAACGGGTAATGACTTCAACTTACTAACACCGCTACAATAATAAGATGAAAGAAAATAAAACTAATAAAAAAATAGCTGATAACGAAAAATGTATTGACCCAGAGTTTGGGGATAAAAAAAATAACAATAATAAGGTGGAATAAAACTAGTAATAAAATAATAGTGATAATAAAGAAGGTATTATACTTCTGGCGCTACACGTTCGATGACTACCTCTTTCATTTTTTTATTTTTTTATTTAATACAAATTATTATTTCTCGAGATAGCTTTCAAAATAATTTACAAATTTATTTAGTTTAAGGGAAGTAACTCTTCCGTATTAAACCTGAATTATCTCCCTTAGTACATATAATTCTTTATGACTATCAGTTTTATCCGAAAGCAGATACTTTTCGTTTTCTGTGTGACAAGCCCGTAGTAGTTCAGGCTTCCACCGCTAGATGCCACTCGAGGCAACCCTCAGGCATCAGTGTGCTAACTGGTGCCATCGTCGGAGGACGTATAGCTCCGTGGTTCACGTTTGTTTTGAAGGGCTTCACGCCTTTTCGTCTATTTTTACCATGGCTGAAAAGGATGCCTGTCGTAAACTAAAAGAACATTTGGAAATTGATCCAGACCTTTTTTTTTTTTTTTCATCACCGGTGACGAAATTTGTTGCTATGGCGACGACCCGGAAACGAAGCAGCAATCAAGTCAGTGGAAGCATCCAACGTCACCACAACCCCACAAAAAAACGCGTCAAGTGAAGTCAAATGTCAAGACGATGTTGATTTGTTTCTTTGATGTGAAGGGAATTCTCCACAAAGAATTTGTTCCTCCAAGTCAAACTGTTAACCAGGCTTTTTACTTTATTTGAAGTCCTGAACCGCTTGCGAGACAAGGTGAGACAAAAACGCCCTGATCGGTGGCAAAGTGGAAGGTGGTGGTTGCATTACGACAATGTGCCAGCGCACACCGCTTTAAGTGTGCGACAGTTTCTGAACCCAGAATAGCATGACCCCACTTTTCCACCCTCCTTATTCACTCGATCTCACCCCCTGCGGACTTTTATTTTGTTCCCCTGAATGAAGAAAGACCTCAAAGGAAAACGTTTCGCAGAAGAAGGTTAAGAAGAAAACGACTGAGTCATTAAAAAAACATAACTTCACAAGAGTTCCAGGACTGCTTTGAACAATGGAAAACACGTCTGGGTCGGTGCATTGCTTCAAATGGAGAATACTTCGAAGGTGATAAGAATATAAACATGCAACAATAAAAGAATAAAATTATATGAGACAATTCCAGTTACTTTTGGGTCCCCCCTCGTAGATATTGTTGCGGGCCCAATAAGGATGTTGCCCCCCGCAAGCTTTATGAAGAAAAGTGTGAACAGCCAAGACAATGAGGGGACAAAGGCAAAGGTTTTATGGAACAATAACGTCGAATTTATTAATGCGTTTAAATAGGTGTCGGGTCCGGTATGACTGGTTTGTTGTTTAGGGTAGCTGGTTCGGTCGTATAGAGTTGATCTGGTCCGGTCGTATAGGGTTGATCTGCGAACGTAGCTGGTCTGGTCGTATAGGGTTGATCTGGTCCGGTCGTATAGGGTTGATCGATGTCCCTAAACAGGGCCAAGACTGAACAGCGATACGACTTCACAGGGCGGATCGACCGCGGAAACGGGATCGCGCCAAAGTGTATCACTTGGCGAAGCCGGAGTCCCTAAACAGTGCCAAGGCAGAACAGTGATACGTCTTCCAGGGCGGATCCACCGCGGAGACTGGATCGCGCCAAAGTGTATCACTTGGCGAAGCCGGAGTCCCTAAACAGGGCCAAGGCAGAACAGTGATACGTCTTCCAGGGCGGATCAACCGCGGAGACGGGGTCGCGTCAAAGTGTATCAATTGGCGAAGCCGGAGTCCCTAAACAGGGACAAGGCAAAACAGTGATACGTCTTCCAGGGCGGATCGACCGCGGAGACGGGATCGCGCCAAAGTGTATCACTTGGCGAAGCCGGAGTCCCTAAACAGGGCCAAGGCAGAACAGTGATACGTCTTCCAGGGCGGATCGACCGCGGAGACTGGATCGCGCCAAAGTGTATCACTTGGCGAAGCCGGAGTCCCTAAACAGGGCCAAGGCAGAACAGTGATACGTTTCCAGGTCGGAAACGGGATCGCGCCAAAGTGTATCACTCTTGACAAATCACCGGATGCTCACAAAGGCAGCGCACTACACTTTGAACATTGCCGTATAAACATAAAACTGTCTTAAAATATATATATATAAAAGTGAACATTGAAGTCAACACTCAGAGGCGACAGGTTGTTTTATGTCGAACGATTGCGTCCAGCATGAAACAGTCTGTTGCCTCTGTGTGTTGACTTCAATGTTCACTTTTATATTTATATTTACACACGTTCTATCTCTGATATTGAGCACTTTATCCCATAAATATAGCACACCTTAAAACTATATTTCTTCATATATATATATATATATATATATATATATATATATATATATATATATATGTGTGTGTGTGTGTGTGTGTGTGTGTGTGTGTGTCTGTGTGTGTGTATAAGTGCGCAGGTATGCAGAAAATAGAAAAGAACACGTTGGGTGCATAATACGGGGTTCCTTAGTATTTTTACATTAGCCTTGAAATAGATACCCTACCCAACCTTAGCAAAACCTCTTTGAAGATGATGAATCTCTTGATAAGAATTAGCTCTCTGACCACTTAACGAAGGAAAATAGTCTAGCCACTCCCACAATAACGAATTTTGTAACGGACCATGTCTAAAAACACACGCAAACCGAGAGATAGCTTATTCCTAAAATTTCGCTTGAGGATGAAACGGGACTAAACACCTCAGTTCAACTTAATTTTAATAATTATTTGGATGGTTTCGGCTCTCGTTTTTGAAACATGAGAACTCTTATGTAGCGAAGGAATCATATTTTCAAACAAAAATTATTATATATATATATATATATATATATATATATATATATATATATATATACATTTCACATTTTAAATGATGTCAATTTTGGGAGGCAGGATTGGTTTTCACCAGAAAAGCATAACTTTTTTTTTTTTTTTTTTTTATAACTAAATAAAAGTAATTTATTAATGATTAAAACCTTAATTAGTGAATTATTTTTCTTCAAATAAGGCATTATGTAAACTATGGGTCAGTTTATCTTAATGTCATTTATTTTTAATAAAGTAAATCGAAATTCTAAATTATTTTTATTAAAATTTTTACATTTAATGTTGTGAATTATTTAAATTATTTGGCTGACAACTATTTACCAAATAAAACAAATTTAAACAATTTGTGCATAATCAAATTTAATTCGTATATAAAAAAATGACATATAAGCCAAATATTTTAACGAAACTAATTTGCTTGGCAGTTTGCTTAATTTTTGTATTTTATTAAATTATTTTTTTTTTATGGCAATTTACTTTATTAAAAAAATAAATTTCTTCACGATTTGAAGTTAGGATGCTTGTCGCCATTGGTAGTTGCATAATTAAAAGAAAAAAAAAACTTGTGGTTCCAGCGAATGATTTATTTTCATGGAAATATTTCGACAAGCAGTTGCCAGTCTTGGTCACACCTTAATTTGAGTAAAACAGTGCAAAGAAACTAGAAAGGCTTCAGAATTCAAATCAAAGTAAAAAACGAGTTGCGGCGTAAAAAAAAAAAAAAAATACGAAAATGGCAATTTGTAGAAAAAAACAAAATTCCATTTTTTCTTTTTTTTTTACGCGTCAACTTGCTCTTACTTTGTAAACGTCATCAACTCGTTTTTGGCTTTTTTTTCTTCCTTGATTTGAATTCTTAAGCGTTTCTAGTTTCTTTGCACTGTTTTACTGAAATCTTCACGATTTACTTTATTAAAAATAATTAAAAACAAAAAACTGATTCATGAGTTGCCTCGGTCCTGACTTCTCCCGGCGTTGAGTCGGCGGTGTTGAATCGGCGGTGTTGTGTCGGCGGTGTTGAATCGGCGGTGTTGTGTCGGCGGGGTTGAGTCAGCGGTATTGAGTCGGTGGTGTTGAGTCGGCGGGGTTGGATCGGCGGCGTTTAGCCGGCGGTGTTGAGTCGGTGGTGTTGAGTCGGCGAGGTTGGATCGGCGGCGTTTAGCCGGCGGTGTTGAGTCGGTGGTGTTGAGTCGGCGAGGTTGGGTCGGCGGCGTTTAGCCGGAGGTGTTTAGCCGGCGGTGTTTAGCCGGCGGTGTTGAGTTGCCCCTTCCCGTTACGAAACAAAGAATAAAAGGAAAAAATAAATCCCTGCGGCAATATTATCATCACCTCTTCCGCTATTGTTCCTCATTGTCTGAATTCTTTTGCTATACACCTGACTGTAAACAGAAATAGGGTCTCTGGCCTTATTGATTCAGCAAGCTCTGAGAGCTTCATTGCTGAAAACCGTTGCTGAAGGTTCACCCTGCTTCGTTTAAATTAAAAGCAGTAGCAGAAATATATTGCACATATAAATGGCATGTGTAAGGATTGGTTGGCTGATCCGTTTTTTTACGGCTTATCTACCCATTGCAGGTTATCTAAAGTCAGAAAATAATTTTAGCTGGAAATGATTTAAGTGACACAGGTCTTACTAATTAACCCGTAGTTGGGGGGAGAGGCGTATTCATACCTTTCCTAAAGGTACTTGCGCGTAAGTGAATATAACGTAGCAAACTTAACAATTTCCGTGCCAGTGTTGATTACAACATCCGCACATCCAAGCTTACAGCACCAAGCGGTCACCCATCTAGATACTGACCAGGCTCAACGTTGCTTAACTTCGGTGATCATACGGGGACCGGTGTTTCGACGTGTTGTGGCCAGAAGCCAAACCACCCGGACATCCAAGCTTACAGCAAATGATATTCCCAAGCGGTCACCCATCTAGGTACTGACCAGGCTCAACGTTGCTTAACCTTGGTGATCGTAGACCTGTGTTTCAATGTGATGTGGCCTTAAACTGAAACAAAAGGTTAGGAAGGAACCCCCCCACCTATCAATAATGGAAAGAGCGATAACAGCTACTGGACTCGAGAAACCTTTTTTCATGAAAATAAATGATTAATAGAATCTATAAATTTCAATCAAGGGTTGCCCTGGCTGCTCTGTCGATGAATGCCGAATGTTTCCTTGTAAGGAAACGGTTAATATTGCCTGTGCTATTCGTTGGCCCTGTTCATTTATATTCAGAATCCGGTTTTTAAAAGAGTTCTTTGTACATTCTTCCACTTCTCAAAGTGGGAAAAATGTAAAATTGCATGGCACTTTACTCCAATTGGCTCATTCGCTTGCTTAAACTCAACGTTGATTCTGATTCTGCAGAACTGAGTTGGGTGTGAAAAAAGTATTTGTTGTTAACATTCTTTTTTTATTCGGTTTTTCCAGTTACGAGTCCTTTTTTTAAAGCTGATCGTTTTGTGTTCATTTTGTTTAGTTCTTTTTTTCGTAACAGATTTAATGTTTAGTATAGAGCTTAGAAAAATTTTGCAGTGTGAGATAGGCAAGAAGTAAGGCATGTAGCAACATCAGCACGGCAAAGGGCACTCCTTTAAATGCAAAGAAGGGCAAAAATATTTTAAGTCAAGTGATAGCGATTGCTGTATGAGTCGTACGATTTTTGAATCAAGCACGGGCAACGCCGGCCCATGCTGCTAGTATTATCATAAAATACAAGGAATTCAGCAAGTGCATGCTTATTGCCGTAGAAGTAGCATCTGAGAGAAATACCTGCATGGAAATTATCGAAAAATTGTCCAAATACAAGGACTGGAAGATCGAGATTAATGGAGAATGAAGACAGAGACAGTACCAATAGTAATCGGAGCACTGGACCTAGTGAGAAAAGAATTGGACAGTTTTACTAACAGTCTCCCAGATAACATCGACATAGAAGTTGCCCAAAAGATAACCCTACTAGGAACATCCTATATACTAAGAAAAGTGCTATCAATTAAATGACAATTATTCTATCGATAGAGAGCAAGCACGGGCGACCTCATCTTGAAGTAATTAGATCAGGTGACGAGTACAGGAAATGTATATTGTTATGGGACCTTACCCATAATAACATAATGGACGATTCCATATGTAATAAATACTGCGCCTCAAGAGGAAGCAGAGAGTTCAGCCTGAAGTCGGGCGACCGGCTGATCGGCTGATCGGTTGAACTCTCTGCCTTCGGGCGGGAAGGAACCTGAACGAGGCTACGCCGAAGGGCGGAGTCTCGTTCGGGGAGATAACCGACCCTGAACCCGTTTATACGGGTTCAAAGGGGCATATTTTTTGGCCGAGCCCACGGGCTCGAAGATCCCACGTTAAACCGGCCTTATGCCACATGATGCGGTCTTGGGGGGGACTAAATACTGTTCAGTTTGAAGTCTAGAGTGAAGTCCGCCAGGAGTCTGTCAGTCAGAGCGAGCGAGTCACTCAGTCGAGTCAGAGGCAGTCTGAAACAGAGTCGCGTTCAGACAATTACTACTAAACCTGATTCTTCGTACTAACACTTTCTACTTCTCTGTATATATATATATATATATATATTCCTGTTTGTAATATATCTGTGTTATTCCATATCCGTGTTCGAGTTTTTCTTTATTGGTTCTACATTGGACTATCACCGTGATACTAGGAACCGATCATAACATATATATATATATATATATATATATATATATATATATATATATATATATATATATGTAAATCAGCGGCGTCTGATCGAGTATTGTTTGAAGGCGTCACTATTATTGCATCTGTGATTTACAAAAGTCTCTCCTACAAGCGGGCATAATAATAATAATAATAATAATAATAGCGTGGGTTCAAAATGCAGGATTTGTGACAATTATCAGGAAAGCATCTAAACTTAGGATGTTCTGTAGTTGCACCAAATGAATATAAAAATCGTCACGATAGAGTGAGGCAATACTTGCACTGGACAATGTGCAAACACTTTGGCAAAAGATGTTAATAAACACGGGCATGAACATCACCTAGCACTGGTTACAGAAATTCTATGGGATTCCGCCATCTTTACAGACAGGAAGATCGACTCAAATATGCCGGACATAATTGTCAAAAACCGAATCAAGAACAAGAAGACTGACAAAGTTACAAAAACTCAAAAATCTGTTCCTAACATTAAACATTACAGACAACGTTACTGAAACTCAAAAATCGTCTTCTAAAATTAAACATTACAGAAAACGTTACAAAACTATAAAAAAAAATCTGCTCCTAGCATTAAACGTTACAGAAAACTTTAAAAAACTTCAGAAATCCGCTGCTAACATTAAACGTTATAGAGAATATAACAAAACTGTAAAATATTTTCTAAAATTAAACGTTACAGAAAACGTTACAAAGCTCAAAAAAAAAAAAAAAAATCTGCCTCTAACATTGAACGGTACATAAAATGTTACAATAACTCAAAAATCTGCTCCCAACTTTAAACGTTATAGAAAACGTTGCAAACTCAAAATTCTGCTCCTAAGATTAAACATTACAAAAAACGTTACAAAAATAATCTCCTCCTAACATTAAACAATACGGAAAACGTTACAAAAAAAGACGTATCCTAATATTAAGCGTTATAAAACGTTATAAATATAAAAAAAAATGTTGCTCCTAACATGAAACGTTATGGAAGACGTTACAACACTCAAAAATCTCTTCCTAACATTAAACGTTACAGAAAACGTTGCAAAATTCAAAAATCTGCTCCCAACATCAAACGTTACAGAAAACGTTACAAAACTAAATAAATCTGCACCTTCCATTAAACGTTACATAAAATGTTACAATAATCAAAAATCTGCTCCCCAACATCAAACGTTACAGAAAACATTACAAAAATTAAAAATGTGTTCCAAACATTAAACGTTACAAAAACGTAACAAACTAAAATATCTGCCCTTTACATTAAACATTACAGAAAACGTGACAAAAATAAGAAAAATCTGCTCCTTACATTAAACATTAAAGAAAATGTTACAAAAATAACAAAATAGCCCTAACATTAAGCGTTACAGAAAACGATGCAAAAATCAAAAATCTGCTCCCATCATCAAACTTTATAGAAAACGTTACAAAACTAAAAAGTCTGCACCTTGCATTAAACATTACATAAAATGTTACAAGACTAAAAAAATTTGTTCCTAACATTAAACGTTATAGAAAACGTTACAAAATTAAAAAATCTGGTCCTAATATTAAATGTTACAGAATACGTTACGTAAATAAAAAATAGTCATAACATTAAACGTTACAGAAAACGTTACAAAAGTCAAAAATCGACTCCTAACTTTACAGAAAACGTTACAAAATTAATAATTGTCTTAACATTAAGCGTTACAGAAAGCAATACATATACTCAAAAATCAGCTCCTAACATTAAACCTTACTGAAAACGTTAAAAAGCTCAAATCTTTGCTCCCAACATTAAACGTTACAGGAAACGTTACAAAATTCAAAAATCTGCTCCTAATATTAAACGTTACAGAAGCCGCTACACAACCCTGAAATCTTTTCCTAACATTAAACATTACAGAAAACGATGCATGAATAAAAAAGGTCATAACATTAAGCATTACAGAAAACGTTACATAAATCAAAATCTCTACTGCTAACATTAAACATTATACAAAACGTTAGAAAACTAAAAAATAACTGTTCCTAACATTAAACGTTCTAGAAAACGTTAGAAAACTAAAAAATAACTGTTCCTAACATTAAACGTTCTAGAAAACGTTACAAAACTCAAAAATAACTGTTCCTAACATTAAAAGTTCCAGAAAACGTTACAAAACTAAAAAATATCTGTTCCTAACATTAAACGTTCCAGAAAACGTTAGAAAACTAAAAAATAACTGTTCCTAACATTAAACGTTCTAGAAAACGTTACAAAACTCAAAAATAACTGTTCCTAACATTAAAAGTTCCAGAAAACGTTACAAAACTAAAAGATAACTGTTCCTAACATTAAACGTTCTAGAAAACGTTAGAAAACTAAAAAATAACTGTTCCTAACATTAAACGTTCTAGAAAACGTTAGAAAACAAAAAATAACTGTTCCTAACATTAAACGTTCTAGAAAACGTTACAAAACTAAAAAAATAACTTTTCCTAACATTAAACGTTCCAGAAAACGTTACAAAACTAAAAAATAACTGTTCCTAACATTAAACGTTCCAGAAAACATTAGAAAAACCAAAAATAACTGTTCCTAACATTAAACGTTCCAGAAAACGTTACAAAACTAAAAATGACTGTTCCTAACATTAAACGTTCCAGAAAACGTTACAAAACTAAAAAATAACTGTTCCTAACATTAAACGTTCAAGAAAACGTTACAAAACTAAAAAATAACTGTTCCTAACATTAAAAGTTCCAGAAAACGTTACAAAACTCAAAAATAACTGTTCCTAACATTAAACGTTCTAAAAAACGTTACAAAACTCAAAAATAACTGTTCCTAACATTAAACGTTCTAGAAAACGTTACAGAACTAAAAAATAACTGTTCCTAACATTAAACGTTCTAGAAAACGTTACAAAACTAAAAAATATCTGTTCCTAACATTAAACGTTCAAGAAAATGTTACAAAACTAAAAAATAACAGTTCCTAATATTAAACGTTCCAGAAAAAGTTACAAAACTAAAAATAACTGTTCCTAACATTAAACGTTCCAGAAAACGTTACAAAACTAAAAAATAACTCTTCCTAACATTAAATGTTCTAGAAAACTCGAAAATCTGCTCATATGATTAAACGTTACGGAAAACGTTACAAACTAAAAAAAAGTCTGCTCCTAACATTACAGAA